CCGGTGATGATGGGCTGGTAGGCACCGGTGGGCACCTGAGAAAGAGAAGCCAGCCCGGCCAGCTCAGTGGTCGGGCGTCCACCTGGGAACCGGGAGGTCAGGGTTCGATTCCCGGCAGCTGCGGGTTCAGTCCCCACCAGCGGGGGGCGTGCAGGAGGCAGCCGATCCACGTTTCTCTCTCATCGTCCACGTTTCTCTCTCTCTCTCCCTCTCCCTTCCTCTCTGAAACCAACACAAATACACATTTTTAAAAATGCCAGACGGGACGGTTTTGGTGAATGGACCCTGTCCTCTAACGGGGGTTCGGGGGGAAGCCGGGTCTGCGGCTGCGGCCTCCCCACAGCTCCTGGCGCCCCTGCCCCGCCCCCGTCCACCGCCCCCGCCCGGGCCGTCCTGCCCCTCGAGTCCTCGGCCTGGAGGCGGCAGCACCAGCAGAGCTTTCTCCCGGTGACCTCGGCCCCAGCTCAGCCCCAGTCGGCGTCCCCTCCACCAGCTGCGTCTCCCCAGACCCCGCGCGGCCCCCACAGGAGGGACATGTCCGTCTGCTCACCGGGCTGCTGGCCGGGGCCGTCGCCGGGAGGCTCGGGGCTGTGGACAGCCAGACGTGCTTCCCTGGGAAAACACGGGGGGACGTGAGGACCACACGGCACCTCGGCGCCAGGCTGGGCCCGCGGTGAGCAGCAGGCTCTGAGGGGGATGGGGGCGGCGGGCGGGGGAGGGGTCTGTACGCGTCTCCGGGTCACGCTGCTCCCGGTGTGTCCCAGCTGCTTTCCCGCACCTGCCCTGCAAATCGCCCTGCAAATCGCCGTGTGGAGGGGAGTTTACTACAGAAGCTGTTCACAGGCTCAGGTAAGGAACAGCCCGGCCGGTGTGGCCCAACGGATAGAGCGTCGGCCTGCGGACTGAAGGGCCCCGGGTTCGATTCCCTGTTGGGGCACAGGCCCAGACTGTGGGCTCCATCCCCAGTGGGGGGCGAGCAGGTGGCAGCTGGTCCGTGATTCTCTCTCATCACTGATGCTTCTCTCTCTCCCTCTCCCTTCCGCTCTGAGATCCATAGAAAGATGTTTAAATAATAAGTAAATAAATAAATAGCCACTAGAAGGAGGCTTCACTCGCGTCCGGACGAGCCAGATGCTGATCCGGGACGAGCACCTTCCCTCCCAGACGGAGGCAGGGGGGCCCCAGAAAGTGGGGGGGGCACGAACCCCCAAACCCCGTCCTCCCCAACGGTTCTGTGATGCTTTCTATTCAGGACTCCATTTGGGTAATTTTAAATAGGGTCAGGGTCAGGGTCAGGGGTCAGGGGTTAGGGGTTAGGGTCAGGGTCAGGATTAAGGTCAGGGGTTAGGGGTCAGGGTTAGGGTCAGGGTCAGGGTAAGGGTCAGGGGCAGGGTTAGGGGTCAGGGTC